TTATTATTATTATTATTATTATTATTATTATTATTATTATTATTATTATTATTACTATTATTATTATTATTATTGCTATTATTATTATTATTGTTATATAGACAAAATTGCACAAGTATTATTATTATTATTACTGTTGCTGTTACAGGTTATATTACGTGATATTCCACGAACATATCCCGAATTGGAATTTTTCAAGGATAATGGACGTGGACAACAAGCTCTTTTTAATGTTATTAAAGCATATAGTATACATGACAATGAAGTAGGATATTGTCAAGGAAGTGCCTTTATTGTAGGACAATTATTATTACAGGTATAATTTAAGGTTAATTAATTGAGGAAAGGAAAAAGAATGAGATTAAAATATTTTTAATAAATTATAAAACCACTTGTACTTTTCCGTCATCATCCTTACCTCATTTGCACTCTATGAATCACAGGTATCCGATTTTTGTCACACATATCGAGAATCGCAAGTTATCATGTTATCAAATATTGAAATTTTCATGACTGTTGCACAGTGAGAAATATTTTGTGTCACATAAGAAATTAAAAATTAAGTAAAAAGAGATAAAAGTTGGATCTTTTCAATGTTAAACTTCAAATGACATTCGAGAGGTTAAAATTGACAAGATTATATTGTCCCCAAAGTTCAAAGTCTTCTCTATTTTTTCATCTCGTTTTTCAGTTTATTTATTACCTATTATTATTATTAATTTAATTTAGATGCCTGAAGAAGAAGCATTTGCTGTATTTGTACGTTTGATGGAAGCGTATCGTTTAAGAGAACTATTTAAGCCTGCAATGACTGAATTAGGTCTATGTATGTTTCAACTTGAGTGCCTTGTTCAAGTTAGTTTACTTTTTTTGTTACTTTCCATCAATAATTTAAAAGTAATTTCGAATTGAAATAAAAGGCAAAATTTTAAAATAATTGCTGATTGAATTCAAATTTTCAATATCAAATATTTCATGTTTTTCAAGTTCAACAGTTAATAAACAGTAGTGTTTAATTAAACATACCTATTAATTGGCTTTTCTAAAAAAAAAAAGAGCCTAAAACTCGCAAATTATATTTGCCCGATAATTAAGCCTATCATGAAGCTTATTGATTTTATGTTTAATTAATTATGGTTAAATTTAGGAACAAATGCCAGATTTATGTACGCATTTCAATAATATGGGTTTTGATACGAGTATGTATGCAAGCAGCTGGTTCTTGGCTCTTTTCACCACAACATTACCATTGGAATTGGCTAATAGGATTATGGATATATTCCTTGCTGAAGTAATCATTAACTTTAAAACATATAATCCTGGATAATAATTCTATATAATTTCTATTCTTATTTAAATAAACTAAAAGGTAAGTTTGAAGGAACATTAAGTGTCATACATTCCTGAAAGTCCAATTTATAATTGAGCCTAGCATGCGCTAAGAATGAAATTGAGCCTAATATGCACATTAAGAATAAAATTGAGCCTAGCATGCTCTGAGAAAAGCTAGCCAATTTTTATTCCACATGACATGGATGTTATCATTTTACCGATTATCTTATTCAAATTTATCACTTTTTTGCATTAAAAATGGATTATTCACACTTTGATTACTAATTATTTATTTCCTATTAAGCATTCCCAAATTTTTAATTAAATTTTACGGTTAAATTGGTGGAAAGAACGTTTTGTAAGGAAATAAATTGAATGGAAGTCTTTTTCTTCTAGCATTTTGTTTGTATATAAAACGGTTCTTTAATGGATTCCAATTCAAATTAAATATTTATAATTATTAAATTTGCTTACTGCATTGTAATGTTGACCTTGCAAGAAATGCACGCATTTTATTGCATGCACGAGCAGTATCAAAATAATGTAATAATATTTCTGTATTATAAAATGTGGGAACATTACTACATTCAAAATGCATTCATTCATTTATTCGATTACAAATTCCAGTTATTATTTATTTTTCATTCTTTGTTTGCTTAATAATTTTTATTTCGAAATGCTAAAATACAAAAAATTGAATGAATGGAAATTTGCTAGCAAAAAACATTGTATATCTAATCGTAGATCTGTATTTTATAATCGAGATTTTCTGGAACTTTCCATGGATGTTTTCTGGAATTTTTGACAGATATTTTTTGGAATTCTCGGTAGATATTTTCTAGACTTTTCCACAGACGATATTTTTTGGAATTCCTGGCAGATATTTCCGAATCCTCTTTAGAAATTTTCTGGAATTCTCGGTAGATATTTCCAAATTTTCTTCAGATATTTTCTGGAATTTTCCACTAGATATTTACTGGATTTCTGCACATATTTCCTGGAATTCTCGGTGAATATTTTCCGGAGTTTTCTGTGGGTACTTTTTAGAATTTTCCATAGACGTTTTACGGAATTTTCTACAGATAGATATTTTAATATTCTAGAAACTATTTTTTGAAATTCTCGATAGATATTTTCTGGATTTTTCTAAAGGCGATATTTCCTGGAATTTTCCATCGACATTTTCTTTAATTTTCCATTGATATTTTCTGGAGTTTTCCATAGAAATTTTCTAGATTTTTTCACATACGGTATTTTTTGGATTTTTTGATAGATATTTTCTAGAATTTTCCATGGATATCCTCTAGAATTTTTTTAGGGTGTTTTCTGGAACTTACCATGGTGGTGTTTTTCTAATTTTCCATAATAGATGTTTTCTCTGATTTTTCTATGGCAGATATTTCCCGGAATTTTCCATGGAAGATATTTCCTGGAATTTTCTATGATGGATGGGATTTTTTGGAATTTTTCACAGATACTTGTCGGAATTTTTCACAGATGATATTTTCCGGAATTTTCCATGGAAGATAATTTTTGGAATTTTCTGTAATGGATGTTTCCTGGAATTTTCCATAATAAATGCTCTCTGGAATTTTCCATAGTCGTTATTTCATAGTAGATGTTTTCTGGAATTTTTCATAGTAAATAATTTTTGGAATTTCTCATAGTAAATATTTTCTGAGATTTTTCATAGCAGATATTTCAGGAATTTTTTCACATAATGTTCAATAAGGTGTCCTTTTTAATTATTTTTATTTATCTCTCAAAATTATCATATACGTATGGATTTTTCTTTATTCAATTTGATTAGCTTATTTCAGGGAATGGAATTTATATTTCGTGTAGCATTGGCAATTTTACAACAAGCACGGCTAGATTTACTAAAACTCGATATGGAAGGAATGCTTAAGGTTAATTGTAGGACCTTTTTGTTTTTTCAAAAACAAATTTTTGTCTGAGTAAGATGATTTTTATTATATAGAAAACTTTTGAATTCTAAATTATTAATAGCACTAAGTATTATCATTTCAAGTAAGTTTAATTATACAAGAAGAAACAATTCTTAGTATAATACAAAGTTGCATCATCATTGTAACATATTTAAGATCCAATTATATTTTCTAGTCAAATTTACAAAAAAATTTATTCAATGATTTTCTAATTTTCAAATTTTTTGATTGTTTTAAGATTAATTTTTGAAACTTTTGTCAAATCTAACCACCTAGTTTTGCAGTATTTTCAACGTGAGGTACGTGAACGATACGAGAATGATCATGAGCTTTTGTTTGTTGTTGCTAATAAAGTTACGCTAAATGCTAAAAAAATGAAAAAGTTAGTTTAATTACTGGCAGTATTTAACGTTTTCTTAATAAATGATAAAGCAGATTTTGTTGGAATTTAAATTCCTTAAAATTAAAAAGAAAATTATAAAATTTTAATATTCAAACACACTTTTTCGTTTGTCCTTTCAAAATTGATATTTTTTTTCTTTTAGAATTTCAAAATTATATACTCACTAATTTTAAATGTAAAAAAATTATCAATCGATTGTAACTGACTGTTGTCCATTTTTAATTGCAGTGCTATAAATTCTAGCCATTTTAATTCTGCAATATTAATCATCAAAAAAATGTTAATTGAACATTTAATATGGAAATTCTTTTGCATTTCTTTTCCACACCAATTCGGGACATTTATAATTTTTAAATCGTTTGAGAATGAAAAAAAAAGTGGAAATGATAAATTAAGAATGATCATTTTCCGGAAATAATATTAATGCACAAAAACGCCTTTATTACACAAAATAATAAAGCAACAATATTTTTTTCCCTTTTTCTAAAATTTGGAAAATCTTTTGCTAGAAAAAAGTGGAAAATAAATTTCGTCTTTTCTGACATAATTTTTCGGAACGCAATTCTTCTTTCATCTTTTTCGTTTGGTACAAAAAAAATAAAAACAATTTCTGCTTTTCTTTTTTTTGTTTCTTCTCTTTCTTGAAATAAATCGAGGAAAGAAAATGGAGAAGTTTTATTTCAAATAAAATATATTTTAATAAAATATAATTCATTATCAGTTCCTTTCTTGTCATCTTTTTGTTAGCAGTTTGAGGAGGAACTGAAAAAATTCTATTTCCAAAAACATAAATTTCAATAAAATATTATTTATTGCCGAAAACAAAATTTGAATAAAATAGAAATATTCATTATTGATTCAAAATTATTCATTTTGATTTACTGAAAAGAAAAAGTAGAAAATTACATTATGAAAGGTTAATTTTTGTAATAAATTTGCAACTCCTAAGTATGAATGAATTCATTGAAGAACTTATTCCAAAATAGCTATGTAAATATCGGTTATGACATAAAAAGAAAATGGAAAATGTACAGTAAGCCAATAACACGTCATGTATGCGTCATATATTTTTTAAAATATATATATATATTAAGTATGTTTGACATACACGTACAATTACGTGGAACTTATATACAATTAAGCTTAATTTTTTTGTAACTTGATAACTTTTATGTGATAATAAGCAAGCAAGGTAGCGATAAAAATAAATTATCAATTTCACAAAAATATTTTAAAAATTTGTTCAATTTTCACTCATTTCGTTTTTTCGAGTGTCCAATAATTTCAATTAAAACTTTCAAAAATGGTTTTATACCATTTTAGGTTGGAAAAAGATTATTTGACAAAACGTACTAAAGAACAAGAAGAAGCTATCGAATTAAGAGTTAGTTTTTTTTTCAATCTTTTTTGTGCTTCGAGGAATTACTCGATCATTTTATATATCGATTGGATTAGTCAGCTTAGTACCAATTTGTCTCGTCGATTAGTTAACTTAGTACCAGTCTATCTAGTCGATTATTTAGCTTGGTATCAATCTATCTGTTTCGATATCTTAGTATTACCGAATAAATTCCCTTACCATCTGTTGTTAAACATGTTGTTTCTTTGATATTGGTAAATTAACGAGGTTTCCATTGATTTTTTTTTGAAACTTTAAATTTTAAAATAAAGTCTTTATCAGGAGAGAAATAATTTGATAGTTTCCATTATATGTTGATAATTTGATAAATAATCGAAATTGGTAACAAGCTATCATACTTTATAAATCGAACTTTTGCATTTGTGAAATTCCCGAAATTTTTAATTATAATCAAATACACCTTATTTGTACCTATTTGTACTTATTTTAGTACTATTTTGCACTTTAACACTATATTTTAATATTATATGAGTATACTTTTGGAGGTAAATTATCTATGAGTGTATCAAATTAAATTTCAATAAATTATGAGTTTATTTTAATTATTGGTATCAACTGCCAGGAGATGATATTAATAAGTTACGGTAAATTTTAACTCAATATTTGTTTACTGGGATTGAATTTCATATTTAATGATAGATACAGTGGTTACCTATTCATAACATGATCATACATTGGTAATAGAAAAATGTCCTTAATTCAACTATTTTACTTTGATTAGTTCAATGTCTTATGATCATTGATGAATGATAAATTTTAATTTCAATTTTAACGCTTCCTTTTATTTATTACTTTTACAGCTCTCATCCAAACCGTTTTGTCTCATTTTATTACCACTGTTTCCAAACATTTTGTAATTTCGTAAAAATTTTAATGAAATTTTAAGTTTTATTTTGTTTTCAAACCACATTTTGTTAGGACTTTCAAAACCTCCTGTCATTTAATTGTTAAAATTTCTAAGAAATTGGTTAATTTTTCAGCTTCAGCATCTTTTTAACAATATAAAAATGCTATGCATTTGGCATGTTGGGAGTATTTGGGACATATTTGGGAATATAAAAATGCTATGCTTACATATTGACACTGGGAGTAGAAATTATTCAGTTAATGTTAGGTTAATTAAGACTTTGAAAAAGTGATGTTTAAGATTGAGGTTTGAGATTTGAGACTGATATTTCTCGGATGTTTTTGATCGGATATGATTTTGAAATTTACCATTTTCCCGTCAATTCCTTTTGCAGTTTTCTCAAATTCTGATCTAGAAATTTAATATCTACCTCTTTTACCTTTGTTTATTCAAGTTAATTGATTTTTGTACTTACGATTCCATCGGAAACATTGTTTGATATAAGTCTTAAACATCACTTTCCCAAAGTTTTAATGCTAGTCAACAAATATGTCTGTTACATACTGCAATCTTTTTCAACACTTTTTTAACACGATATATACATGTGATACAAAGGACATGCCCGTGCGACACAAAAGATATGCTCGACTAATAGATATATATTGTAAGCCATGTTAATGAAACACTATCATTGGATACTCTGTGATCATTTTTAGTGAAAGTAAATATTTTGCATTCAACTGACTCATTACTATCAAATATTATAGAAAGTCATAAAAAAAATTTTTTCCAATTCTTTAAATATTTGTTAAAAAAAAGGTTTATTTTGAATTTTTGTAACAATTAAAATTAACTGACTTTGCTGAAAAAAAGTAGCACTAAGTAGAATAAAATCCGTTTGCATAAATTTTGAAAAAAAATTCAATTCAAATTATGGACTTTTCACAGGATTTATTTCGAATTTTTTTTACAAGGACTTTTAAATCAAAATATTTTCATTTTCTCATGCTATAAAGTACAATCAATACAAGCTATTTCTCAGTATTTTATTTCAAAAATTCATTTTTCTTAAAATGGTAGGAAAAAAAGGAGAAAAGGAAAGCAAAATCATTAATTTTGAACAGGAAAAAGATTGTTGTAACGAATATTAACGAATCATTCGTTTAAATTTCTTTTTCTCATTTTTTTTCCTCAAAAATTGTTTTCAACCAGTTTGAATACCTTTCTTTACTTGACAATCATTCCATTTCCAATTTCTTTTTTCTCTCAAATCTTTTTAAGCCATTTATACCGTAATTGTATTCTTTTCTAATAACCAAAATTACTTCTAATAGATTTCTCTTTTTTCGATTACTTTTTTCACTTAAATAATTCCGGATCTCAGTTGCTTTTTCTAAAAAAAATTGCTAAATTTTTGCATAATTATATTAGTCTCGACGAATTCAATTCAATTTCTTTTGATTAAAATTTAATTTATCAATTCTTACCAGAGGGTTCAATTTATCAGTCACGAAGCATTCAATTTACCTTGCCAGTCATTCCAAAAAAAAAAAGAATCCAATTTATCACTCATATGATTAATGTGGAAAAAATAAAAAGCAAAATCTTCATTGAGAAAAAGATTTTTCTTTTTCTGAAAAAAAAAAAACGAACAGCGATAAAAATCTTTCGTCCTTTTCCATTAACAACTTTTTTTCTTAAATTGTTTTTATTAAGTTTTGAACTGCTTGAAGTTCTTTTAGGTTCCATTTTAAACAATTTCGTCTTTAAATTTTGTAAATCTATTTTATGCTTCATTTTTTTAAATGGAAAAAGAGTCAATTTATCTTTGAATTTTCACATCTTTTGATGACTCACTTCTATTCATTGTTATTCTTTATCAATCTTTTTACTTATTTTTGATATGTGATGAAATAAATTAGCAATCCAAGAACTTTTCTGCGAAAATTTTGCTCAAACATTTACTTCATTTATCTCATTTTTTTCGTGAAATATAAGCTTACATTTTACATGATTTTATGTACGAAATTGATGAGCCAAACTTAGATTACATTTTGCAGTTTCAAAGTGATAATGAATCATAACTTTATAATAATTTATTCCATATATATTTTAGAAATAATTAGGATGCTCAGAGAATGATTTAAAAGGTCATCTGAATCGGATATATCGGTTGTTGGTTGGACAAATTATTTGAACTTCAATGTAGGTCAGTTCGAAGTTGATCTCATTTTACTGATAGCACAAACATAGTATTAACTGATTATATATATATATATATAAAATGATCTTATTTATTCTCAAATTTTTTCATTTTGTTACATTTGTCATACAATGAAGAAGAAAGAATCGAAAAAAAATTTTCAATTACTATCGAGTAATTGAAAGTTTATAATTTTTACTGAAGTTACTTGAAATATGTCAAATGAATGCATGATGTCTTTTTCTGAAAAAAAAGAGATTGTTGATTAGTATCAGGTTTTTTTTAATTAGTAATGAACAATATGTCCATTTACACTATACTTTTCCTATTGCTTACTTTTATTTCTAAAATTTGTTAATTTATAAATGGGCATACATTTTTTAATTGATTATTCCCCTTAGTCAAATAATAGTTAATGAAGCATTTTTTTGTCCCCTTCTGTTTTTGTATTCAATAGGAAAGAGACGAGAAAAAATTGTTTCGAGTAATTCCGGATTAGTAAAATAACTTCAGGAAGTAAATTTCCTTTCACATCCTTCTATATGTGTATGATTTATGTGCGATTATATGTTACATTATAAAATAGGGTCATTGATCATTTTTTTTTGTGGCTATTATTCAGAGCTTTCGCAAAGTATTTAGTGTTAAATAGCCTTGAACAATCAATCAAAAGGTCACATTTAAATGCTATTTGTTATAATTACAATATGATCGAAACGTAATGGAATATTTTGAAGTTTATGCAAGAATGTATGTCATTTGATGTGGCCCTTTAATGGGGCATGATGATAAAAGATAATCATTATTGATTACGTTTGTGCATTAAGTGATATTTAATATAACCCTGTAAATGAAGCATAGAGAATATTGATTGCATTATCGATTGCTTTATTGATTGAATTGTTTAGAAATATATGTTATATTTAAAAGTTACACCAATCATTTTGTAAATATTTTAATATCCACATGAATCCATGAAATGATGTCCTTGACAGTACGCATCGTCCATTATTAGTACATTATCGAACGTTTCGCTAATTACTATTACAACTTCATTTCTCTTCACTGTCACTTGCGGCATTTCCCACTAATAATGTCAAAGCTTTTTTGCTAATATTCTTGTTACTAAAGATATTCAATACAAATTCGAAAAAATTACAACTTTCAATTATCCGAAAAAATTTGCTTTAATTTTAAATCATTGTAAATTAAATAAGTGAATTTCAATTTGGTTTTGTAAAATTATTCATCCAGAATTCTAACAGTCAAAGAGTAATTGTACAGGTTGAATAGAAATTTAGAACTATTTTATACCAAGGAAAAGAAAAAAGCCTTATCCCATCAAAATAAGTAACAGATATGTTTCATTATTATAATAGGATCTAGCCAATAAGAAGTGATACTTTATTTCTCAAAAAAAACCTGGCAAATAATTTTGGTAAAAAAGGCCAATGACAAATAATTTTCTATCCTTGAAAAATAGCCTAGCGAATAGTTAGAGATAATTAGATCGAAAAGTTAGATAGATTATCATATCACATCAAAGTGATGTGATAATCTATCTATTCATTTTGTTGTGATGTGATAATCTAAGGGTGCTAATATAATCATACAGCAACAGTAACAAAAACTTTTTAACTATTTTTTTTTGCTTAAAAATTAAAATTGAAAGTTTCGGATTTGAAAATCCTATAAGGAATAGTTTTTTTTCTAAAAGAAAAAAAACTTTATTTTTTTGGAAAAAAAGTACTTCAAATGCATTGCATATTTTTTCATGGTATTTTGTTGCTTGTTTGATTTTAGTTGGTCCTGACATATTCATATTTTTGGTCTTATTTTCGCTCTGTCAATTTCCATTTTCCATTTAAAGAAGACATTGAGAAGGTTCCACTCATTTCATTTAACAATCATTCA